TTTGTCAGGAGAAATTTGCATATGGGAAAGCCTCCTTGGCTTAAGCTACACTAGTACGTTTATATAGACATTTAATACATGAAATGGTTCAGGTAGCATATTGATACGTGTGGAAATGTGAGCAATAAGGGCTGGGTGCCTGGCTGATGCAGTGCCCCTGGACTGATTCTCTGTCTCTGTGGTTTTGCAGAAGATGAAAACAATCAGGATCAGTGCCACTGGGGATGCAGCCCACCTGCATTGCACTGCAAAGCTAGTCCCTCCCTGCTTTTACCTGTTTACCCCTTTTCTTTTCCTCTCTTTAAATGTTGCTGCTCAGTTGTGCTGCTCCATAGGAGCCTGTTGCAATGCCACCTCATTGATCACAGCTGCTTAATTTCCTGTTTCTTCAGCAGTATTTAAAAGCTTTTTTTACTATTTGGTAGGAAATGAGTAGATAGTTTCAGGCTTTGCAATGGAAAGTGGCTTTGTTAGTATATGCTCGTTTAATATGGCACAACAGCAGCTGCACAGGAGACTGTCAAAACTAAATAGCTTGTCTTCATTTGGCTAAACAAGCCTTTGCCCCACCTCCTCTCTTAAGGGTTACTTCCAGAGAAGAAGAAAGGTTTTGCCTCAGATCTGACCCCAGTTCATAATGTGACATAAAAATGCCCACGATGAAAGGCTGGTCTGTTGGTTTTCCACAGTGTTGACCTGGCAGCACTGCTGCAGTGTATAAAAACCAGGAGGAGTAATACCTTGCTGCAGCTGCAGGCCTTTAAAAGGGGAAAAGTTCTTGGTGCACAAATACAAAAAGTCTTCTCGTATAGGAAAAGCATTAATGAACTGTCATCTGAAATATTTTAGCACAGTGATGCAGTCTGCTGTATTGTTATTGATGTTCTCAGTGTGCTGTAAGGTTTTGCTTCGGTGTTTTAGGAGAAAGGAGTTGCTTTTACACCATTTAAATAAACAAAGCCTGACACTTAATAGGCTGTTGTAATCAGGAGAGATATAGTAATCTAATAATAATATTAAAATCAAAATCTCATAAAGGCATCTTTTTGAAAGCAAGTAATTAGGGCTGTTATAAAAGGTTATGTGGTCAAATTGCCTTCAGTGAAAGATGTAAAATTATTCTTTGCTCTGCTTATAGAACTTACACTGAAGAGTAGGTGAGTCTCTGAGTAAAAAAGTCATTTGAATAGTTTTCTGTTGTCATCCCTAGACATCTGGCAACACTGTGGGACATTCTTTCATACCTCTGTTTTGAGGATTCCTAAGAGGAAAGGTATCTGAGAACTGGCAACAACTAACGAAAAGGAAATTTTGAAAAATTATCATACTGATTTCAAGAAGTGGGATTGTGCTGCCTAAAAAGTAGTCATAGAAGTACATGTACAGCAGAAGCTAATGTTTCATCAGTTTTGCTGTACCCAGAGAGAGGGTTAAATCTAGAACAGTGCAAGCATGAGCTCTGTGAGTCTATAGAGGAACACGGTGGAAAACAGCTTGTAATGTTTTCAGAGTGAATTTGTTTCTCCCAGCAGGGTGACCAAACAGCAATAATTCCACAGGTAGTTTGGCTGTGAATTAAAAAATCATTTATTGTACAGCAGGATGAAGAACTGAAAAGATTCATTGTAGAAAACTTGTTCAGACAGAGCACTTCATTTTTATTCTCTGTTCTTTTTCTTGACTATTGGCTTCTCTTCAAAAACACAGAGGGATGAACAAAATCTTATTTATTAAGAAAAAAACTCTATAATTAATATTTACTGTCCTCCTGCTAGATATGTTTCAAAGCAAACTGTCAACAGAAGATAGTTTTTTTCTCCTCATCGCTTTGCATCCATGTTCCCATGAGTAGAGGGGTTGTTCTTTTTGAGGGGTGTCTGGCTGCAATAGTTGAACAGTTAAGTGCTTTGGTTTGCTGTATTCTATTTTAGGCAATGGTTTGCAGTATTAGTGGGTGGTGGAACATCATCTGCCTGTTTTGGTCAAGCTGTGGGAGTCATTGAGATGGGCTCTGTGACTGTCTCTTCTGAGATACTGGGTAGCAGGAGACAAAGCTCCTCTAATTGAACACTGCTTTCTGGGCAGATCGAGGGTGTCAGGAAGGAACCCTGCACACCTCAGCCTTTGCTCTGATTTTGGAGCTTTGAGCTGAATTTGAGGGGCTTGTGCCTCTCCACTTGCTGTTAGAATGAGCCAAAGGAGTGCCTTTCTCCTGTTAGTATTTTGAATTGACTTAATGGAATCATCTTTATTTACTTTTCCTGTCAAACAGGAACCACTTATTGATGAAATAAGAAATTGTGATAAATATTAGAGATAGTATTAAGGGGCTCATGACACACTTTCTATTTGCACTGAAGTGGAATAGTAGAAAGGAGGTTTGGTAGTGAAAATACTATTTTCTTAAGCTTTATTATGCTGGCCCAGTGTAGGAGTTACGAAATTAGCTGTCTGAAATCAGATACATACTGACTTCATTCAAAACTATAGTTAAGGCTTTCCTCCAGTTTTGTTTTCATCTCTGAGAAAGTAGCTGAAGTTTATCAAATTATGGCCTTTTATAGTATTCATTAGATTTATATATCCAGGGATTTTCTGTACTTGTGAAAAAAAATGATCTAAGTCAGTAAAGTCCTGGTGACTACATTTGGCAGCAGTGCTGTGCTTTTTGAGAGCTTGAGTTTTGGGTTATGGCTTTACAGCTTGGGGCATACATTCCATGAACCAGTAGCTTTCAGGAGTTGCTCAGTGCTCTAGTTTTGATTAAAAGTAATGGACGTGTTTTCTTGGTCTTGCCTGTGCCACTCAGCCATAAGCCAGGTTTGCTGTTAAACACAGGCTGTCTAGGTTTCTGAGTGATGGAGTGGTAAACTTAAAAAATTTCCATGTTGGCAGCAGCTACACTGGCATTTCAGATCCAGCTTCTTAATTCAGTGATAGTGATTTTTACCTACCAAAGGGTTTGGGATGGTTAGAGCAGCAACTGGCCCATACCAATGTGCAGTCAGAAAGATGCATAGTGTGATCACACCGGGTTGTGCAGAACAGGAAACTAGTGATGAATAGAGGAGAAGGAACTGCTAGTGTTTAGTCTGAAATGGCTGCAGGGCTCAGCAGGATGAATGCACAGCTTATCCAGGTCTGTCCAAGATAAAGCAATACTTTATACTTAATGTATTTGGCCAACCAAGCAGGAAACAGTGCATAAAATTTGTCATTGGTTCTTAAATGTAAGCAGTGATGAAATCCCTCCACAGAGAACGGATATCACTCACGAATGGATTTTGCCGCCCCAAAGAGTAATGACATTTAGGTCATTCATGCCCATGGCGTTGTGTCATCATTAGAAAAATGCTGGAGGAATGACTTTGTTTTGTGAAATGTCTGGCATTCACAGACATTAATTTTAGTTGGATGGTGGTTTTTGCATTTTGTGTAAATTAACTGCTTACTAGCTAGGACCCACATTATCACTATTGGCGAGGAAAATTTCATGCATCTGGCAGAATTTCTTTGAAAAAACAATTAAGGAATCCTAACATAGTGCAGAGAAGTCTAACTGCTAGTCTAACTGAATGGAAGAAGACGTAAACAAGTCTTTAAACCTGTTCTTTGTAATCTCTTGGCTAGAGGAAAGGAAAAAAGACTGTTTTTAGTGTACAACTTTGAGCCTACTTCTAGAAGATGACAGCACTTTCAGCAGCCGTTTTCATCAGGATACCAGGTTAAATAAAGGGCTCTAAAGTGCAGGAAAAGTTAATCAGAAATATTTATGGGATCTGGAAGACTATATCAATTTTCTGGATAAACTGATTGTATTTAAACAAAAACTGTTTTTCATAATTTTCCTGTTCTTTTAAGTAAATTTTTAAGGCAAACAGAAAGCAAATTTTGATACTGTGAGCTGGTCTTATGTTTAGCTCCTTCCTGCATTCCATGTATGAGGGAGGTATGTGTTTAATTCATTGTGATATTTTTTAGTGCCCATAAGAAAGCACTGTAGCATGTTAGACATTTTGATTAAACCTCCTCTCTTTGTGCAAAGACACGTGAGCAGGGACACTAATGTGGCTTTCAATTTCCTTAATGAAGCTCTTCACTGCTTAGATGGTCTTCACAGAGAGGCCTGTGAATACGAGACAATCCCTTGGGCAAAACAACTAGTCTGAGCTTTTCACATCCAGCCTGAGGCACACCAGAGTGTTTGGGCTGTTTAGCAAGATGGGAAGTTGAGGCTTTTGCCCCTGCCATCACTAAGAAAGTGCTTTCCTTCTGAAGTAGTCAGCCTGTTTGGAGGATCCCCGGGTTAGGTATGCACTGGCTGGGGGTACTTGGATCTGTTCGTTTCAGGCTGAGTCCAGAATCCCTCTGTTAGGTGAGAGAACTGGCAGCATTATTATTCTGCTATATACTAATGTGACCAAAAAAGCAGAAGTTTGAGTGTGATTTTTTTTGTTGTTTTGGTTTTGGGTTTTTTTGTTTGTTTTTTGGTTGTTTGTTTCCAGGCAAGAAAATCAATGTAGGCAAAATCCAGAAGAAAAAAAGGCAAACATGTTTATGATTAATGGCTAAATAAAGCTAAATGAGGGCTAGCTAAACACAAAATCAAAAGTGGATGCAAGTATTCCTACGTTTTTGAGAAGTGCAAGCATAAGCAATAAGTGGAGATGCTTGAAAATTTTGCACGCTCTATATTTGCAGCAATAATTTGTGAGAACAAAGGATGTAGGAGGAGTACAGAGATTAAAATAAGGAACTAGGTCATTATCATAAAAAATAAGCCTTTCACAACATAAATCACAGCTTCAAATTTAGTTAAAAGACTGCATGGCATATACTAGGGAACAATCAGTAAAAGAAGGTTGGATGGATGAGATGGCAGTTTTCTCCAAATCCTGATAAATTATGAGTATTAGTGACCATAAATAACCATTACTAGATGTGCTGCATTTGGCATTAAATTGATCGTTTGCTAAACTTCTTTCTGTTTTTATTTCTAGGGCTCTTCCTTATCTTAGGCTTGATACTTTACCCTGCAGGTTGGGGATGCCAGAAAGCGATAAGCTATTGTGGACCTTATGCTTCTGCTTACAAACTAGGAGACTGCTCCTTGGGCTGGGCTTTCTACACAGCTATCGGCGGCACTGTTCTGACATTCATCTGTGCAGTCTTCTCGGCACAAGCTGAAATAGCCACATCCAGTGACAAAGTGCAAGAAGAAATAGAAGAAGGAAAAAACCTTATCTGCCTCCTTTAACTCCAGTGGGGAAAACTACCAGCACCTGGATCTTTATCTGCTTTCCATTGACTGGACAAGCAGATCCATTTACCTGTTTTTACATTTGTGTGATTGAGCCCCATGCAATCCAGCCCTGAACTACTGAAAGGGTTTTTCTTCTTTGCTGGGCTATGAGGATCAGAGAAAGGATCCCAAGAAAGCAGAATGTAAATACCTGGGGATATTTTTAGTTTCATTCTGTGATCAGGACACAGTGGAATATATTAATCCAACTGGGGATGTGAGTAATCACATGTATATAGCAGGAATGTTGTTAAAACTGACAAATTCTGATTGATCGAATTGTCAAACCCACCTTGGTCACTTTGAAGAATTTGGATTTAAAATAATAAAAGCCAGCACATTTTTTTTTCTTTTCTTAAGCAAAAGAGAAGCCTATTTTAATGAGGCTTTGTTTCCAAGGGCTCCCCTCACTGGTGACTATTTCTTCACCATCACCTGATTTGGTACCATTTTCATGGAGGTGCTTTTTGGTACTGAACTTCCTAGAAGTACAGTGCCTTCTTGGATATTAACTCTATGTTGGAGAGAGAAAAGCTGACGTTTACACCAATCTTTAGGCATTTAGAAAGTCAAGTCCCTGCCAGGTTTCTCTCTCTCAAAACAGAGTGAAAGGTGTCAGCAACTTGTTATTTAGCAGGTAAATACTGTTTCCACTAACTAGACAGAGAAGCTGTTTGACTGGCTCTCACCCGATTCAGGTAAAACTGAAATATTTCTACAGCCTTTACTAAAATTTCTGAAATCCCAAGCAGACAACAGCTGCCCACAGCATCAACCTTACCTGGGCTGTAGCCTCTCCTACAACTGTGGATTTCACATTGTACTTCAACAGTATTACTTTTTCTCTGGTCAGTGAAACATCATTCCCAGTCTACAGATAAGTCTGTCTCCTGACCCAGACACATGAGTCTTTAGGGAAGTTAAATTTTTTCAGAAAGCCTTGACAAATTCTATGTGGCTGGGAAGACTTCTCCTTTTTTTTTTTTTTTTTTTTTTTTTTTTTTTTTTTTTTTTTTTTTTTTTTTTTTGTGTGTGTGTGTGTGTGTGTGTGTGTAGCAGTAGACCTTTTTCCAACTAAATCAGCAGAAATTAAATAGACCTTGCCACAAATGCCATTTTTTTCTCAAAGCTGGTTGTGTTATTTGTGGTGTTGCCTCACTAACTAGAACTACTTCTGATACCAATTTCGTAAGGTATTTTAACAAACAAAGGAAAGATGCAACTGTGCCATAGGAGCATTGGGGATAATTCATCCGAGAAGTAGTCCTAATGAAATACTAGGTGAATTTTAGATTCCTTTTCTTATTTCTTGGTAGTTTAACATCATTCAATGACAGTGTTGCTTCACTATTACACAGAGCAGAGATTCTTGTTTTTGCTGGTCAGTCCCTTAAAATGCTCCATTAGTAATTAAAAAATCATTGTTACTGTCCAGGTAGGTAGCTGCTATCAAGGCACTGCTGATGTGCTTCACAATACAAGAGCTGTTCTGCAGTCCTGACAGTGGGCCCAGGGCAGCCTGGAGGATGGGTGTGCAGTCATGGAGCTGGGGTCCCCATCCAATGCCTGCTGCCCACCAGAGAGACAGAGCAGCTCGCAGCCTGTGCCTCTGTGCCCACAGCACCTGCAGCCTGCGGGCTGGACAGATACACAGGTGACCTCTGAGATGCAGTCCAACAAGGTCAACTTCTGCCTGTAATTAAAAAGGGATTGTTTTAAACTAGCCTCTTCTTGCTACGTTATCTGCTCCTGCAACCCACATCCACCATCTTCTACTTTAAAACAGGTAACTCACTATCCTTTTAAATATTGAATTTAAATCCCCTCCAAAAGTTACAGTGTGCATAACTGCCTGCATAAATCAAGATTTTAATAAAGCAAAATTACCAGCACAATGTGGTGCCTGAGGGTGAAAATCACAGCCCACACCTGTGTTTGTCTTGTTGGCTTTGCCTCATACACATCCCCCCGGCTAAAGGACATGCACTGGGCTTGTACCTGGGGTCTAGCAGGGCTTCCTTCAGGTATCCCTCCTGAGCCCCTGCTGGAGCAGACACTGAAGCTGGGCCACCAGCTCAGCTCCACTCTGCCCTTGGGGGCCCTGCAGCTGGGAAAGCGTGGGGGGCAAGCAGTTGTATGAGTACCATATAAACCAGCTAAAACTTAATTGCTAAGTAGATGTATAGTTTTAGCTTCCTTAGGTGGGTAGCAAGTCCAGGTCACCACTGCCAGCAAGTCTTGAGACAGTATTAGGGTGAAAAATGCTGCTTTGGCTCGAGCACTTGATCAGTCAGAATCAAGTCAGTTCTTACAAAAGTCGAGAGGGCATACATACTCTGCTCTGGCTGAGAAGTAAACAATGACCAACCTTCATTCACATAACTAGCTGACCTCTGCTGTGGTCCACATGATGCTTAAAAAATTTCAATAGTACATTTTGTTTGGATTTGGTGTTTTTAGTACAAAAGAGAGATTTTCAGTGGCACGTTTTGCTTTTGTTTGCATTCGTAACCAAGAACCAGCTTTTCTGCTTGTTGCTGGTATTTTATCAGCTTGCTCTGCAACAGCATAGTTAACTAACTTGCAAGAATATCCATGTTCATCACATAACACAGAGAGAAGACAGGCTGGGAAGAAATACAGAGGAGAAATAATCAGAATTTCTTTTCTCAGGGTTCTCTTTTTCTAGCAAGTGATAAGGTGGTATATATTGCATTTTTTTTTCCCTGGATGAGGTTTTCAGGTGCAGGGTGCACTCATTAAATTTCACAGCTGTTTAAATTGCTCCTGAAGTTCACCTCAGCAGTAGCTTTCAAAAGCACTTTGGGAAAGAAAAAACATCAGCTTAAAGCTAATTTAATTATTTCATGAAGGGGGCTGCAGAGTGTAACTGCTTCTTAATGTACATGCACTGCTTAGGACCTGGAGGAATTTGCTGTGGATTCTTTAAAACCTGTGTGCCAATTAGTTCAGTTTAACTTTGTTTTGTGGTATTGGAGATTTCTTCAAACATCTGTGGTTTCATCAGCTTCTTAAATTTATATTCAGTAAAGTGCCATAGACCTTTTTTTAAAATTGTAGCGTATTTAAATATATATATATATACACAGACTTGTGTGAGATGTGCAATACAAGGAATGGGTTTTGTGGGGGTTTTTTCTTTTGCTTTTTTTTTCTTTTTAAGTTTTTGCTTTTAAATAAGTGATTTGAAAAGGGACTTCCCAGGGAAGAAGTGGCTGGAGTTCGGTGGTGTGGATATAGAGTAAAGCAATAAAATAAAATAAATAAAATAAAATAAAATGTTGAAGATCAATACAACCGTAGCAATAGCAGCTTGAAGATTTAACAAAAATATCTTCTAGATTGATTGATTTTAATCACTCAGAATACAGACACTTCCAGTGTGAAGCTATGTCCATCTCCAGCCATTAACACTCTAAAAGCTGAAAAGGCTCAGCAAGGTTTCTTAGTGTGCTTTATTTGTAATGTGGCACTGCAAAAAACATTGCTACTGAGCTATTTCTGGGTTGTCTATATCACCTTTGTATCTATTTTATTCAATAAAGTTCTCTGGATTCTGAGATTTTTTTTTCAGCCAAGTAATTTCCATTTTGCTTTGTTACTACGCCCCCGAAGTTTCCCACATCCTGGTGGTAAATGGAGAGGAATTCAGGCTTTCCTTGAAAGCCATGGGCACTGGTGCCTACACGTCAAGGAAAGGGCAGAGTCCAACAAAAGCAGAGCATGGCAGCAACACACACACAACTCCTCTGTACAGAGAGTGGCTGCAGCGATCTAGCTAGAGTAGGTTTTGAGCCATGGTTTATTTGTGGTACTGTTTTTCTGTTCTTGACTCACCACTATGTACATTTGTTAGCATGATTGATGTACCTAATGTCTTCTTTTTAATCTAAATTTCAATTAAATGTGAGTTTTTGAACTTTTAACAGGAGTCTGACTGCCTTAATACAAGCACATTGGACATGTTGAGCCAATCTGAGCTTCAATGGTAGCTTTAATAGCATTTAAGATCCCAGTCCAGTGATGTATTTCAGATTCCCATCTGACTTAAAACACTTGTTACTGCTTACTGATCAGAAGTATGTGATCTGAAATTGTAACTATGTGTTATACAATACAGTTGCATTAAAGAGACTTTCTAATTGAATATAGCGCTGACAAAACGTGTTTCATTTTGCAACTAAAGCACTGCATTTCCTTTCTCCTGAAAAAGGACAGTAACAGTTGTAAAACAAACACTGCTCCATCATACACAGTATTTTTAAATAGTGTTTGCCACAGTGTGTTTTAGCTTTCAGCTGTGATGTGACAAAGCTTAAAGTAAGGTTACAAAGCCAGTGTATAGCAGAACCAGGAACAAGGCTTTCAGTAGTTTCAAGAAAAGAAAGCATGTCACTTCTTTATCAGTTGCAATGGTCCATTTCTATTAAATTTTTATATAATTAATCACATATAGTTTAATTACACTTCTAACTGTTCCTAAACTTCTTGGGAAGAGAAGTAGCTCTTGGTTACAACTTGGAACATTTAGAAACCTATAGTCCAGAAGTTAGGGGATAGATGCCATTGAATGCATCACTACTACAGTCAATTTATGAATTTCAAAAGAGGTATAGAGGAAACACTTATTCTCCAAATATAAAATACTGTTTAAAGAAATTAGGAAGCACTCATTTGAACAGCTAAAAATATTACCTTCCTTTTTCAGTAAAGTTAATGGAACTGGCAATAGCAGAGAGTTCAAGTCTAACTGTGTGTATTGTTACAGATTTCTGTATTCTTTTAACTTACTCTCCAAGCTCCAACTGGGTTTAGAATAGTGGAGCAATCACAAAGTGGATGTCTATTGTCGGTGTTAAGAGTGACAGAAAATATAAAGATGTCTTGTTCTGTGATTCACTGAAAGCTTGTTTTCAACCTTTTATTTGGAATATCAGTGAAATTCTGAGAGTGTAGGAATCTATGTCTTGTAACTGGCTTAAGGTATCACTCAGATGTGGTGGGATCAGTAACTTGGCCTGACCAAGGTTAAAGAGAAAGAATGCCAAATTTAATCACATAGGTCTTAGGCTGGAGTCGATCTCAGGAGTGTTTAGGTCTTTTCCATCCTAATTGATTCTGACTACTTCCAGCTATTCTCTTACCTTGGACAAAAAGTGTCACCTCACTGCCCAATCCAGGATATTCTTTTAAAACATCATGCACTCCTGTGAAATTAACATCATGCATTCCTCTAAAAAAATATACAGGTATAACAAAGACAACACTTCTGCACTAAAAACAGCAACCATGCTTTGGCATGTGTGCAATGACTACACCTCAGACATACACAGTTGTTTAATTAGGCTATAAACGATAAAATCTACTAGCAGCATTGTCAGCTGGAGCAGTGGCAGAACAGCTGATGC